GACCTACCAAATGTGCTACCTCAGCTTGAAGGAATGTACAGTGGTGCCTCGCACAGCGAGGTAAAAAAATGTTCCGGATTAACCCTCGCTGTGTGAAACATCGCTCAACGGAAAGTAAAAAGCCATTGGAACGCATTAAACAGCGTTTAATGTGTTCCAATTCGGCCGAATACTCACCGTTGTGCGATGTTCCTCTATGGCCAGCAGCCATTTTCGCGCCCTCCCCTCGCTGAACGAGGGCGCGAAAACGCTGCACGCGGCCATTTTGGGGTGCGCGGCGGCCATTTGGGACCCGCCTAACAGCTGATGGGCGGGTCGCAAAGCGAAGGTTGGTAAGCGAACCGCTTACCGCCCTTCGCTCTGTGATTTTCCCCCTATCTAGGTGCCGTTTTGCGATCGCATTTGCGATCGCGAAAAGGGCATCGTTGCGCGGATTCGTCGCTCTACGGAGCGACCGTTGCGCGAGGCACCACTGTACCCTGTTTCCCCGAAAATAAGACCTAACCTGAAAATAAGCCCTAGTATGATTTTCAGGATGCTCGTAATATAAGCCAACCCCCAAAATAAGCCCCAGTTAAGGGAAACCCCACCCTCCACCATTGTGCAGCAACCAGAAGATGACATGACTGTAAAATGAAACATCCCCTGAAAATAAGCCCTAATGTGTTTTTGGAGCAAAAATTAATATAAGACCCTGTCTTATTTTCGGGGAAACATGATACAGTATTTCCAACTGGTTTCCCCCTCTTCCCACTCCACCTGTATTTTCAGTAGTAGTTCAAGGACAAAAACAGATATCCCACTTCTCCTTTGTGTAATTGATAGGAAAAGCTAAGGCAGAAGGGTGTGAGGTTTCTTCCTGAAAAACGGATCAATTTGCAAGTACCTGAAGTCATAGCTTCCTGCAATAGGTATATCTCTATCCAAAAGAAGCTCTACAGTGTCATTAGGTAAAAGGACAAGCTTTCAGAAGCCAACACTGTGGAATAGGTCCAACAAAAAACAGCTGAAGAGAAACCTGTAGTTGCTCCTGAGAATTTCAATTACATTTATAAAAATGATAAGCCACATTCCCGGCTTATTCTGTATCATTGTAAACAAACAGCAGGCTGGTTTGCTTCCCACTTTGTGTATTGAGATAGAACTACTCAGAAAGGGATGGCTTGTGTGATATCCAAAGCCAGCATCCTGGCTTACTGGTCTCAAACTTGATCACAAGCCAACTTTAAAAAAAATGTTTGTTATTACCTTACAAAAATAAAGGTTTACTGTTGGGTGACGTGTTTGGGAGCAATAACTTACGGATCCTGGGTTTGAATGTAAAATAAATTACTGTCTCATCTCTACCTTTATTTGTTCGCACAAAGGGGGAAGAAACAGACTATATCCACCAGCACACAACCAAATGTTATGCATGTGTATACATGTGTTTGTCTTGTAAGATATCTTAAATACTGTAGTGGCAGAAATCTTGTTGCTTAGTATAATAAATTTCAAGTACAATAGACTCAGTGAATCAACAGAATTTACAGATGAGCTGGTTCACCAAACCCCACTGATTCAACAGGCCTACTGTGGCTGTAACTTACTACACTAAGCAAGAGAATTTCAGCCAGTAAGAGCTAGAATGGTGAAACTTTGCACAGACACTACTGAAGTCCCAGCTGAAGTAAGTGGGTGAGTTTTAGATCATGCTATATGGGGCAGGGAGGAATTCTCAGAGTTGCAGCCTCGTGCTGGAATCCTTAGACCAAAAACCATGACATTTTGCAGAAATACTATTGACTTCCCAGGCTAAATAACTGGGTAATTCAGATCCCAAATGGTTGTGCTGTCAAGTGAGGTTGTTCTGGGAGTTTGAAATGGAGGATTCTCCAGTCCTCTTAATTAAAAGACACAAGCTAGAAACATAAGGTTTTGTACAGATACTGTACTAAGTTTCCAAAAACAAAGAGCTAGATAGGTTAACTGGCTATTCTGGTGGGGAGATTTAAAGAGATCTAGTTAAAGGTAATTACTTTTTCTATTTCATCAGTAACAGGCTGATTACTGGCTTGAATACTGGAGTTGAAGGAAACAAAAATCACAGAGGTGGGGAAGAAGAGCACTGTACTTGGAGGTGGGTGAGACTAGTGGGTTTCTAAGCCAAGCAAAGCTAGGCACATTTGCTAGTTCAAAGAAACCAGGATAGGCCAGTCCATCCCTGATGTGTTCATTCCTTTTCAATTTGCTGTCAGGAGCTACTGTTTTAGGTGTGCTTAGGATCCCTTTGTTTTGGTTCAGTCCCAAGATGTGCAATTGCTGGGATCGAACTAAAACAAATGGCTTAAGCAGACAGCAGAAGCCACTTACCAGATCTAGGAAATTGAAAGCTTCCTCTGCTCCTCTGTGGAGGAGGAGAGACATGAAGCAAAGGTTGTTTTTGGTAGGACAGCATTCATGTGTTTTGCTTTCAGCATGATCAGACTATAAGCATTTAACTACAAGGTATTAAGCTCCCTTGTTCCTCCAATATGCCCATGGCTCAGCAGATTGAAGTTGGATGGCTAGCTCCCTCTTTATTGTTGCCAAACATTAAAAAAAAAAAACACACAGAGGAGTGGAGAAAAAAGAGTCTTCACCTCATATCACTTTCCCTGGCCACAGTGACCCAGCTAATTTAAGAAGTGGTTGTTACTCTGCTACAGAACAGCATACCCTTTGGCTAATTTAGAATTTATTAATTTTGCTAACATGCAACATTATAGATTTTCCAGATCAGAACAGGAATTCAAGAGTGTGTCTCCTTTCACAATATGCAGTTTTAAAAATTACCCAACAATAGAGGGGCTGAAATCCTGTTGCTTAATATAGCAAAGTTGCACTACAAAGACTTCCTGAATCAATGGATCTCACAGAGCAGTTGGCTCACCAAATCCCTGCTGATTTAATGTCTACTTTTGTGTAATATACTACTGTAGGCAACAGGTTTCATCCACTGTGATCTAAATACAGTGTTAGTTCCAGCTAGAGGGGACTCACTGAAATCAATGGGTTGTGTATCAATAGAATGTATCACTACCAAACTTGTGACTAAAACATCCCTTTCATTTCAGTGGATCTCTTCTAGTTAAGATGCGTTTACTCTGAAACCTGTGTTAGTTTTTTAACATAGGAAGATAATATCATTTCTAATAATCAAGTGTGGTGTAGTGGATGGAGTGATGGACAAAGACTCAGGAGGCCTGCATTCGAATCCCTGCTTAGCCATGGAAACTCACTAGGGAAGTGGAACTGGTGAAACCACTCCTTAAATATCTCACCTACCTTGAAATCCCTATTAGGATCACTATAAGCAGAGCTTGAAAAATCCACTCATCCACTCATCTGTGACAAGTGAAAAAAAGGCTGCTTGATGAGCCACAACTTCCTCCCTCCCTCCTTGCCTCCTTACCCTCAGTCCATCTCTCTCTCTCTCTCTGATCCTGCAGTCCTCCCCTCCCCCTTCCCATTGCAAAAGGAAAAACAGGCCTCTTCTCGCGAGTTCAAGCAGCACATAGATATATAGCTATGCAGGAGAATGCAAAATACAGTGGTGCCTCACTTAGCGACGTTAATCCATTCCGGAAAAAACGTCGCTAAGCAATTTCATCGCTAAGCAATTTTAAAAAGCCCATAGAAACACATTAAAATGCGTTTAATGCATTCCTATGGGCTTAAAACTTACCTTTCAATGGAAATCCTCCATAGCGCCATCATTTTCGCTACCTCTTAAGTGAGGCAAAACAGCGGGCGGCCATTTTCTTTTTCCAGCGGCCATTTTGAAACCGCCGATCAGCTGTTAAAAAAGGGTCGCTTTGCCATGATCGCTTCCCCGCGATCATCGCAAAGTGAATTTTCCCCATAGGAACCATCGTTAAGCAATTGCTTTTGTGATGGCAAAAAGTCCATCGCTAAGCGATTTCATTGCTCAACGGAGCGATCGCTAAGCGAGGCACCACTGTAGTCCCATGCTGGAGAATATGGAGATTCCTTGCTCCCAATTTCAACGACCGACCCGGCTCCTTAAGAGGCCAGGTGCTCTTGCTTTGAGTTTTATTTTTGCTGGAGACGTTCAAAAGAAAGGCATTCAAAATACAAGCTTCATTACCCCACAGGCACACAGGTAATAAAGCAACCCAAGTCTGAGGGTATATTTATTTTGGGTTTGTATGCATTGTTATGTAGAAAGTGCCTAGTTTAAGTTTAAATTTAAGTTTAAACATAAATTGCAAGCTATAGTCATGCTGACTGGTGAAATTTCTGACTGGTGAGACATTCTAAAATTTTTCAAGCCCTGTCTATAAGTCAGTTCTGACTCAATGGCACAAAGCATCAACAGAAGTACTTGGTGACACATGAAGACAGAGAATAAAAGAGTAAAACCATTTTCTTTTACAATGTTGATTATCAACTTCAGTTGTAATAAGAACAAATTAATAGATTCTCAATCTCAGGTACTATGAACTTTCACAATTAGAAAGAGATTTAGAAAGCTTTCTTCTTCACAACTAGAGCTTAATTTTCTTGTGCTTCCAGCACAGTGCAATTTTTTGCAGTCACCTGAGTTTGGAAATCATTAGAACAATCAATATCAGTGGTAAAATATGACTAAGTCATGTTTCTGGAGAAATGCAAACTTTGCCAACATAGACATTATTTTGGAATACATATTTATCTGCTGGAAATCTAAGCCACAGCATCAGAAGAACATACACACACATGCATGCCGGGCTATATTTACTTTTAAACCAAGCAGAAGGAAGAGGGAAAATTTCACCAGGGCCTATGATAAATAAAGCAAACATTTCACTAAATATCTACGCATAGTGGGGTTGTAAAGGTGTGCATGTTCTACTAGGATTAATAAGAACACCCTGCAGAACTGCGCCCACAAAGAACAAAGAAGAAGAAATGTTGGCTGGTGAAGAAAGGAATTTACAGAGAGAACAAAATCACACAGAAAGTCATTACAGTGATACCTTCAGCAAGTGGGTCAAGGGTGTGAATCATAAGCTGGAAAATGCTGTTCCTCATTAGGCTGTTGTGAAGAGATGCAGAACTCCCACCACGCTGGAGCCGTGGCTTAGTCTAAAGAAGGGGGAAGGGAGAAAAATAGAGAGGGGGAGACTGTTTGATTAGGAAGCATAATAGCTTCATATATTATGAAAAGGTGACAGTGCTTTATAACATATATCAAACAGCTGTTCTTGTCTCAAGACAAAGGATTTATTTTACAAGGAAACCATATTTATGAAGTGGTATTCTGTGTCATGGCCACAGATGGCTATGTTGGCTATAGCATTCTGGGAGAAATGTTTTTGACCTCTGTATTGAACTGATACCTGGATGTGGAAACAGATGGGAAGAAAGCCAAGTAACAAACAGAATCCTGACAAATCTATAGAATGTTGATGATTCTTGGTTCCTGAGAATTGGTGCTTGGCAGAAGCATCTGATTCTCCAAGATTTCAGAGCCCAAATATGAGGCCTAGGAATGTGACACAGCAAAATGGTGTGTAGCAGTCAGACAACACGGAAAACCAATGGTGAGTGTAAAGGCTAAGGCAACAGTGCTATCAAGAGCCTGCTTTCCAGATCCTGTTGGTTGAGATTTGTAGGTTCTAGTCCATAGTATTTAGATTGTTCCATAGATTCCACATTACAATCATTAATCCAGGATAACTGCAACAAATGCAGTACATGACTCATCAAAATCCCACCTTTTGCCATGTTTCACTGCAGTTTGCAGGGTTCAAGTGAACACAGAAGGAGGTGGGATGTTTTGTTTATTTATTTCTTAAAATCTCTTTGCTCTATACCAGGGGTCAGGGAACTTTTTTTACATTTTACCCCTGAAAAATTTATATACACTGACATTACCCCCTTGATTTGAAAGGAAGGAAATCATACATTATTTGAATTCAAAATATTATTGAATCTACACAGGCTGTGTACCGAACTAGGAGGCTATATCATAAGTATCAATGGCTGCCAGGCTATGTACCAAACTAGCAGGATTCACCAGATTTGATAAAGATGTGCACTATTTTTGCTGGAACACATTGCACTCCAGCCATGGGGTGGTATAGGGAGTAGTAAGGTGTCCAACGTGCCTAGCAAGCTGCATTAAATTTTTGCTAGCTCGCACAGGATTTAATCATCATCAATGGCTGCCAGAGTGGTGCTAGCAATGACATGCTTGCTAGAGACAGCCAACACATGGTTTTCTATCAGTAATATCCAAAGGTACAAGGGTATTCTCGTTAGGGCAGACTTGTAAGATGGAGAGTTGAACACGCCTAGCTGAGCTATGGGACTCTCTCAGCACATTTTAGGGTGTACAATCTCCTAATTCCTCTCTGTCCGACCGATCAAGCATCCTCTTGGGGAGCTGATAGCTGACGGGGGGGGGGGTTTCCTACCACTTTAATCATTCTGTGTGTGGTGTGCAAAAAGGAACAAAAAAAGGCTAAAGGTCATGTCACCCACCCTGGTGCCACAGCCCAATATCAAAGACCAGGGCGCTTTTTTATCAACATCAATGGAAAACTCAGCAGTGGCCAGAGGATTGGAAAAGATCAGTCTACCTCCCAATCCCAAAGAAGGGAAGTGCCAAAGAATGTGCCAACTACTGTACAATTGCACTCATTTCACATGCTAGCAAGGTTATGCTCAAAATCCTGCAAGGTAGGCTCTGCTCATTATCCCCAGGATTTTCATTTTTACCCCATTTGGGGTAATTAACCCTGTTCCCAGACCACTGCTCTATACCATCACTTTATACCCCAGTGTCAAGCGATCAGTGTCAAAGAGATGTTATAACAGAAGCTGAAAATATTCCATCTGGGAAGCAGCATTTCAGATTTCAGTTATGCTGCATTCTATTCCAGTGACTGTTTCTCCCTAAAAATCCCTGGGAAGGTGCTGTGGGTAAAGGAGAAATAATTTTTCCGTTGCTGCCCACATGTTTCAAAAGAAAAGGCTGTAATTTACATATCTGGGTTGTTTGGAATTACAAGGATGAGAATTTAACTCAGGTACCTGAGTAGCCAAGTACCAAAGATTATCATAACATGCAGTTGTAAGAGTGTTTCATTATTATTCCAATAGAGCTAACACAAGATAGCAAATGTAAAATTCTGCTAGTCCAAAGAAGCGGGGAAGGAGTCTATATATAAGAATGGTTTCTCCAAATAACCTGTTGCTATTCATCGGGAGAAATGGTTGCCAGCACCAGAGGTTTGTAAAATGAACATGAGTTAGCCATTGCAATTCAATAACAGGACAGATGCCTTTATTCTGGCAAAATATCAATGCAAGCCTTGGCTTGTAATGAGCCAAGTAATTCTTTTTCTCTGCTTTGGAGCTGGACAGATGTGAACAGATAATCTAAGCCAATGGTCACAAACATTGGGTCCCCAGATGTTCTTAGACTAAAACTCCCAGAAGCCTTCACTAATAGCTCTGCTGGCCAGGATTTTTGGGAGCTGTAATCCAAGACCATCTGCGGACTCAAAACTGAGAACCAGTTGATCTAAGCAGTTGTGTAGTAGGCACCTCCTTGCCCAAGTCCAAACTCAGGAATCTGGCTGGGGACGAGTTTGGCTGCTGTGTTACTGATGTGGCTTGAACACTTCACCCATGCAGCTCCCCACCACTTTTTCCTGCTCTATAAAAGGAAAGGAAAGGAAAGGAAAGGAAAGGAAAGGAAAGGAAAGGAAAGGAAAGGAAAGGGGTGAGTCTTGGCCAACATGGAGCTGGAGCAGCTGGAGCTTCCTGGCTGAATGGTAACTAATGTCTCCCTTAATGCTTCCTTCCCCGTTCCTTTGGTTGTGGAGCTCAGAGGACCTGCACCAAACTGGACCATACTTTCCTTTCCTTTGGGAAGGGAGATAAGGGGGCCTTCCTGGCTACTGCGCAAGCAAGAAGGGCAGTGGTTCCTGCCCAAATGGGTACTCAGATTGACAGCTTTGACATCTTGGGTTTCTCAAGGGAAAGGGAGAAAACAGGGGCTCCTTGACTGAAAGCCAACAAGGGGAAGTGGAAAGGCAAAGCGTTACAATGTGGAGCTTGCTGATGAAAGCCAGACCAAAACACAGGGTCCTGGGTACATACATTCACTTGCCACTAACATCTATTGGCCAGCTACCATTGTGCTTCTGGAAGCAGTTTTATAAGCACAAGAAGTAAGGGAAGAGTGTCTTTTCATTTGCATCCTCCCCCATGTTCTCTAGACTCTGGAGGATTGAGAAAATGCCAGAATGGACTCCAGGGGAGCATTGGAAATCTTGATGCAACTATGATTTTAATTTTATCTCTGGAAAATTTCTACAAATTCATAGATTTGCCATTATATTCATACACACAAATAACAAACACCTTTTAGCAATAAGGAAAAAAAGTATACTGGCTGCTGCTTACCATGAGTGTCTGTTCATCTCCAGCATTAGACTGCACAAGAGGAGGAGAAAAGAATAGAATGAGTAATAAGGCATGCAAACATCTTGAGAAACAAGCATTCAAAACAAAGTGCTAAGACAACACAACAGTAATTTGCGTGGGTCTTTCTACCTGTGTGCTATTCTGCAAATATATAAATATGCTAGTGTAAATTCACTAGAAAGAAATCTCATCTGAAAGCTATGGAAATGCATGTCCATAGAGAGGTGTAACAAAAACAACTGTGATTTCAAATGTACTGTATCAGCCCTAGTCAATGTAGCAAATAGTGGGTTCTTATGGGAGTTGGTATACTCCAGAAACATTTCAGAGGCCATGAGAGCCCACCTCAGGACTATCCAACTCAAGCTAAGAGAAGTTTCATACTTTCATGTGCACTCAAGAATATTAACTGGATTTGTTAATGCTTACTTTTAACAATGGCCCGTAGACTGTGTTGTAGTGGTGTGCGTTATATGGATGCATCATGCAAATTAGGTACACGTACGCACGCACACACACAGTCCCCCCCCCCCCCGAGGACACTCTTGCATGGAACTCAATCTTATGCATGATTATTTAAAGTAAGACCATGGAAAATTAAAGCACTCTTAAAAATAAGTGGAATAGCTTGAAAGAATTATGCTGGTTGTTCTGGAATTCTGGTAAATGATGCTGAACATGCTATCGACATTAAAAGTCAGGACAACATCCTTTGATATTAAAATAGTTTCAGAGAGGCAACAATTTGGTAAGACCATAGCAAGAGTATGGAAGGGGACCTCCTTACCATCCTGAAGCTTTCACCGGCTTCTCCAACAATTGTTTTTAACAGAAATAATCCAATTTGGCCTTTACACTGCAGGGAGAAATGACATCTCTGCACCTTATTAAAAGGTCTGTGACTGACAAACAACTCCTTGTTCCACCATCCCACACTAATCCAATAAAAAATCTTGCATGGTCTAGCTGGAGTCCCATTCTTATTGAAGGGCCAAATGAATACCAAATACAACTGGCTTAAAGAAAATAATAATGCATATCTCTTCTAATACAACAAATGTTGCTTAATTAGTCCACTTCTCACTCCATATCAGCATACATTATACCTTACACTACCATTCACAGTGGAAATTAGCTACTACTCCTTTTTGACACAGATCAAGATTAAATACAGTATCTGAAAATAAATCCTTTAGTAAGTGATTTTCAATAACCAGAGTTAAGTACAGGACAGCCAAGTATAAGCATTTATTTTTCACATCAGCTAAAAAGGAAATGAAAATTCTTGTTCAATACTTAACTAGTCATCTCTCTCTGAAGACAGATAGATTTTATCACAGCATGACATAGAATTCATATCAGAATATGAAGCCTTTGTCTGTAGGGAAAAGGACCACCCCGTGTTTCTTAGGCCAAGGAGGTCTTGCAGTTATTCTTGCATTTCATGACTTTCAGCAAGTATGCCAGTGTGAAAACACATGCCTTGTAGTATGTGTGTGCATGTAGAGTGTGTGTGTGAAATAAACAGCTAACCTGAACAGTAGTTTATAGAATTAATGTGTGAGCTTAATTATAGAGTTGTGAGCACAAATCATCCCACTGCCATTCATGAAATGGTCCCCATTCTGTACCTAACATCCTTACTGTTATAGCCCCAAACACTGCTCTTGTTGTCTTCCCTGACATCTGTCAGCTGAGGACTGAGCTAATCAGAGCATCCAGGTTAGTGACTTAATTGTGAGATTTCAGGATCCCTACATTGACTCTGTGGACCCAAGATATCCTTTTTGTGGGCTTCTAGAGCAGCGGTCCCCAACCTTTTTGGGACCGCAGACTGGTTGAGCCTCTGAGGAAGGTGGCCCCCCAGCAGGTGCGTGCTCTTGGGTGCATGCGTGAAGTGGTGGGGGAGCAGTGCTGGCACGCGTGCAAAGCAGCTGTGGGGAGGGGAGAGCATGCAGGGGGGTGGGAGGTCTGTTTTCGTGGCCCAGTCCAGCTTGGGCCATGGACCGGCACCAGGCTGCGGACAGGGGGTTAACAACCTCTGTTCTAGAGGACTTTGCCTCATGAATGTGAATGAGTAAACACAGTATCTTTATAGCAAAAGTGCCTCCCAAACCCCTCCAAAAATAAACAGTAAGGCCACCTCCGTTGCTGAGGCTTTAAGAAGAAAAAACTCCAAAAATAAACAGCAAAGCCACCAACAATACAGCACAGAAACATACCCACCCCAGCCAAAACCCACCCAGAACAGTTTTTAAAAGGAGAAAAAAGCAGCTTACCTCCCTGCAGACACACACACACGCTCACTCCGAAGCAGAAGGAGGCAGCTCCAAGCCTCCGACAACGACAATACACTCTTAAACTGCCGAAAGTGAAAGAGCTATAGTACAAATAAGCAACCTTGTCGCCACATACAGTTAGAAATTTGAATTGCCTGCCTTTTCCCCCTGCCTTTTTCCATTCGTAAGTTGAAGCTCCATTCACAAGTTGAAGCAAAAATTTGCGAGCGGAGCTGTTCGTAAGTCGAAGTGTTCGTAAGTAGGGATGTTTGTAAGTCGAGGCACCACTCATTTATAGTCACTAACATGAACTGAATTAAACTCTCCGTCGCTCTCTCCACCTTAATCCAGACCACCAAATGCCCATTTTTTCCTTCAAAATATGGAAAACATTTCTTATGTAAGCACAGGCAATTTTCTTTTATAATCTTATCTACAGTGTGCAAGATTGATTTGTTATCCTGCTGCATCATTATCTTATTTCAGAGTTTTCTGGGCTTCAGTCAGGTCTTGATTACTGCAAACCATTGCCCGACTATACAGTCAGAGTGAAATGATTTTAAATTAACAAAGGAGAACACCAAGTACACTGAGGATCCTAGTCATAGAGGGAGATACATGATTTGTTTTCCTAAAATAATAATAGTTAAACACACATAAAATAATTCATCAATATAAAACATGGGTCTACTGAAGGATCTATCCTACAGAGAATGTGTTTGCTGTTACCAAAAAAAGAATAGGATCCATATGAAATGTTTTGATAGCTGTTTTCAGATATGCTATAAGACCGTGAAAGTAGCATAGGTTGTGATATTGTCGCTATTCCTTTGTGCTGTCATGTCTTTTCCAATGTATGGTGACCCTATGAATTAGGAAGCTCCAAAAGATCTTATCATCAACCTATTTCAGGTTTTGCAAAAACTGTGGATTCCTTTTTGAAATGGAATCAATCCATCTCACCCTGGGTTTTCTTCTTTTCATGCAGCAGTCCAATTTTCCCAGTACTACTGTCTTTCACAGTGAGTCTTTTCCTTCCACGATGTGCCCAAAGTATGACAGTTTAATTATTTTTGCTTCTAAAAAGAGAGTTCAGGATTGATTTTATCTAGAATCCACTTATTAGTCTTTCTGAAGGTTCATGGTATGTATCTATTGAAGCGGTTCCCAACCTTGACTACCCCAGTTGTTTCTGGATTGCACAGCTGGTAGTGAAGGCTTCTGGGTACTGCAATCCAAGAATACTTGGGCTAACCACGGTTGGGAACCACTGATCTATTTGCATAATCTCCAACACGTTTCTAATGTGTTGATCTTTTCTCCCTTTTAGTTTTCTTCACTACCAAACTGTCACACTGTATGTTCTTGGCTTTGGTTTGGCTAAAGAGACACTTTAGCCAAAATCTTGTTGTTTAACTTAGTAAGTCACAGTTGGAGTAGGTTCACTGAATCAATGAGGATTTAGGGTTCCAGTTATTCAAATGGGTCTACCATTACTATTATGCTAAAGTTAGTAGTAGGCTACTTAAATCAATGGAACTTATGGAAGAGTTGACTCACCAAATTCTGATTGATTCAATCAGTATAATTTACTATACTAAGAAACAGGACTTTGGTCACTGTTACTCTTAAACATAGTTTCTAGTTCACTCATACAAACCCCTCCAAGTTTGAGTCTTGTGATCTCTTGGCTGCATTCTCTATTTGGATTGATGATTGAAACAAGGCATAGGAAATCTTTAAACAGCTGTGCTGCTATCTTTATATATGCTGCTATCAGCATATTATTATTTTTTAGAGAAAATTCAGATACTTGGTGATTACTTGGTAAATAATACAGACATATTGTGAAAATGTTTCAGAAATAAAACTCTGCCTCTTCATTTGATCTGGCACATTTTCCTTACTTAATGCAAGTGTAAGACAATTAGCTCCTTTCCTTCTCAGAACACAGTTTCTCTATTGTTGAGTCAAGGGAGACAATGGATCCTGATCAGACTATAGCTAAGTATCCAAGTTAACATGCTCTGAGGATTGAACTGAAAATTGTCAGGCAATTGCCATGACAAATTCATGGACAAATTCTCTTAAAATTGCATACTGTATGTTAAGAAATGGGAAAACCTAAGCTCTGCTTAATTGCTTTTAAACACCCCTGACACTCAAAACTAACAAAGGGAGAGCGGGGAGCAAGCAAGAGAATTCCCAATACCTCTTGTCCATCATGATAAACTTATGAATGGCCCTTTCAAACAGAAAACAAAATCAAATTAAAATGTGACTGGATTCCACAAAATCTAAAACATACGGCTCAAGAGAACAAGTTCAAAAAGGGACTATCTATTAAATAAAATGTTTGAAACAATAATGATGGGTTTCATGGCTGGCATATCTGTTCTACGCAGAAATAAAAGTGGCCTTGGATTCCTTCGCCTCTGGCAAGGCACCTGGAAAGGATAACATTCCTGTTGAAGTGCTGTAAAGAGATCATCACCCCTGAGCTGTATGAAATCTTTTGTCTTTGCTGGAGGGCAGATGGAGTACCACAGGACATGAAGGATGCAAACATTGTCACATTGTATAAGAACAAAGGAGCCGGGGCGACTGCAATAACTATCCTGGCATCTCTCTTCTCAGCGTTGCTTGCCCGTGTTGTGCTGAAGAGACTCCAAGTGCTTGCAGACAGAGTCTTTCCAGAATCACAGTGTGGATTTTGAGCTAATAGGTCCA